CTCTCTCTCTCTCTCTCTCTCTCTCTCTCTCTCTCTCTCTCTCTCTCTCTCTCTCTCTCTCTTCCTCCCTTTCACGATCCATGGCCGCCATGCTCCTTCCTCCTCCGGCCTCCATCCCCTATCCTCCTCCATCACGCAGCACATCACATTCAATGCCCTCCCCCCTTGGCACACACGTCTCCCGTCTCGATCATACACCACGCTGCGTCTGCATCCAGTTCCGCCCCCCCGCACAGCTTGCCGCATCGGACCAGTATGCCGCGCAGCACTGATTTCGTCCAATGGCCCTCCAGTTCCGCCCCCCCCCCACAGCTTGCCGCGTCGGACGGGTATGCCGCATCATTTTGCCCTCATTTTTATTCAATCAGTTGAATCAGATGAAAACCGACATACTGCACCACCAACACGCGGGGAGATCAAAATACTCGCCACAATAACAGTTGCTTGTCCGCAAAACACTAAATAGATTCAATAGAACAGTTAATTTTCTTCTTCTTAGGTTCCTTAAAAAGGCGGATTATTGTTGTGCATTTTGCAATTTAATGAAATCCTTCCCTTCACTCAGAAAAAAGTTACCTTCCCTTACTTTAACAAAACTCTCTCCTTTACCGTCTTCGCCCAAATAGAACGCTCGGTCATTATAGCTGTATTTGGGCCAACTTTCAGACCAGATGCATCGCTAACGACCGGGCGTGTTATATGGGCGAAGAGGGTAGTTCATTGGTTCCTCAGTCGACAAGCAAAACCTTATTCCGAGCAGCTCAGTCGAGAAAGAAAAAAGCTCAGTCGAGAAAGAAAAATCTTAGTCTGAGCAGATATGTTAGACGGAGAAAAGAAAACAAGAAACAACAAAAAGGCCACTATTGTGAGCTCACAAGGCAGTCTGGGAAAGATGTCCACCTCCACCAACGTTCTGCCGATGGAGAAGAACCAAAAAATTTACTCCCACGAGCTGATAAGGCTTTAAAGGCGACCTCGATTCACCTCCCCGACTGCACACTTTCGCAATGTCATCCTGCGTGTACCACATTTTATTTTTATTTTTATTTTTATTTTCCGGTGGGGGCCGAAGACGGGAGGGGAAAAAACAGGCAGGCAAACAACAACAACAACAACAACAACAAAGATATGTCAGATTCTGTCCTGATAACACTTTCAGAAAAGACAAGTGGTCATGACGAACCAAATATGTCCACACACTCGTGACAGGTAAGGAGTTCAGATCATTCAAGAAAGGCGTCTGCTAGAACTCCCTGCCTTCATTTACAAGGGGAAAAAAATGGAGATCAGAAATTGCCTTACCTTACAGATCCCATCCCCGACCAGCTGTTAATAACTCAAATCAAACACCCTTCAAAGTTCAAACCCTTCAAGATCATTATTACCTTATAGTTTAGGGGTCCCTAGACTGCATCTGTACCCCACTTAAAAGATGGGAGTACCCGCTATATACCCAGTCTCGGCACCAACTTGCATCTATACCCGGAAAACGGTCGGTTGAAATTATTTGCATGCCCAGGACTGAGGTGGACCCAGGCTGGTACTGCAAATTTGCAGTCATAACCAACTACCGGAATGGACAAATTAATAAAAAAAATTATGGACATAGCCAGGCAGGTAGGAGTGGATGCTTTTATCATCACTTCTCTCTGTTTTAGCAGTTAGCATTTTCTTCATTTGAAAAAAAGAAAAAAAAGTTATGGGAATACCCGGGACTGAGGTGGACCGTCCAAATTATTCATATACCCCACTACTGGCTGGCTGAAATTATGCTCACAGCCAGCAGCCGTTGGGCCACAACGGTCCACTTGGTGGGCATGAGAATAATTCCGTGGTCAGCCATCCGAGGCCCGCCACTGGGTGTGGGTACACCTACCATTTTGCCTGCCCGGTTTCCCGGCATGTGAATAACTTTGTGGTCCAGAACGGAGGCCCGGTGGGAGTGACGTTGGCTTTTGCACAGGAGAAAAGTTAGGTACTGTGCAAAGTTGAACAGATTCCGGGTATAGATGCAAATTCGCACTGGGACTGGGTATAGCGGGTATTCCCATCTTTAAGTGGGGTACAAATGCAATTTTCCCTATAGTTTAAGTTCTATCGGAGGGGCTTGGATTCGTGTTGGGATTGGAGTACGAGTTCCAGCCCCTGCATTTGCCCGAAGCATTAGGTCACAGCCAGTCAGATGGACAATTGCGAGCTCACAAGGCAGTCCTTATGTATTCCCATTAAGGTTGCACAAATACCTGAGGTAATTACTTTTATCACCTCAGGTAAGTACCTTAGGTAATTACCTGAGGTAATAAAGACTCACTTTCTCCACGGTGCACCCAAACACAGAGCCACCACTCGGAGACGAAAAGATGGGAATTAATGGGATCAGTCGATATGTCCTGTGCTTGGGTGCTTTTGACGACTATGATCTTCACAAACAACCCTCAGCCTCGTTGACTCAATGGCCCGACTCATTGATCGATTGTGCGTCCTCGAAACGATGATGATGACGAGTTAGGACCAGAAGGAGGAGAAAAAGAAGGAGAAGAAGAAGAAGAAGAAGAAGAAGAAGAAGAAGAAGAAGAAGCCGCAATGAGAGATCAACGGACTACATAGAGGCCGGAACTCTCTAAACTTATCTGATCTGCTGCAACTTTTTTTATTTGACACTTATGACAACAATTCAACAATTGATTAGAAAAAAAAGAAAGCCTATTGAGGGGGATCTAATTGAGAAACAATGATTCCGAAAAGGTTTACAGAGATGACGATTATAAAGTGGACAAAACTTTGAGCCAACTGAGGGAAAAAAACAATCCGAAAGCCAGTGACCAGATGTCCAGGGTGTCCAGACAGATGGAAATTGTTTGGCTGGCTAGCCTGACGCAGAGCAACTGTTTCCAAAAAGCAAAGTTCGTGGAAAAAGAATGTTGTACAGGACTGCAAAACAAACAACGTTTTCCTCGGACTGATCTCCAAATCCATAATCAATTTGGAGAGGGGGGAAAAAAAATTAAAAAAAATCAACAAATATATTATTTGAACTTGGTCTACCCCCCGCGAACGTTCAAGCCCCTTCGCCCAAATGCCAAGGGGGTCAAACTCAAGGGAAGTTCAGCGCCCACCAAAATTATTTGGGGTCTAAAACTAACTACTCCCCCCCGTCCCCGGCAACTCCACTGTACCTAAGCCACCCACGCACCAAATTTCAACGTCATTTGCAAAACAAAAGAAGATAAAATTCAGGAAAGCTTGGGCGGGGGGGAGGGGGGCGGAATTTGTTAGCCCCCGGGGGGGGGTTCGCTTTTCTTCGTTTTTCGTTTTCCTGGTGTTATATCAATCAGTCAACCAGTAAATCGATCAATCAATCAATCAACCAAGTACACGCACACACACACACACACACACACACACACACACACACACACACACACACACACACACGCCACGGGCGCGCCATTGGTGTGAGTAAAGTCGACCACTTTTCTCAGGGGTATCACTAACTCTGGGAAACCCTGTGAGTCCTTATCAATCAGTCAAATGCATCCTGGGCAGACTGTCGAGGTACCTTCTGACGAGTCGGGGAAAGTCCGATGAAATAGTCTGGAACAGTGCGCACCAGAACTGCACGAGGAGGAGGAGGAGGAGGAGGAGGAGGAGGGAGAGATGAAGAAGAAAAACCACTGACGAAGGCGATAATGAGAATGATTTTTTATTTTTTTTCTTTCAGTAATGGGTGGATCACAATCCACGAAGACGAGGAGGCGGGAGAGGGAGAGTAGACCGGAGAAGGGGAGGAGAAGGGCTGTGATCGACGGATCTTGATCTTTCTCGCGGTTGAAAACAAGCGAAGGCTGTGTGGGATTGCTTGAAGGCAATCTAAATGAGGAGAGGGCCGGAGGAAAAGGATGAGACACAGGGCGTCGGTCCAGCATTCTACATGCATCTGGACTGCAAGGTGCACCAAATGCGTTCGGACCGGTCCAACACTTTGTATGTATCCAGTCCATTAGCCATTCAGCATGTTGCGCAGTGGACCGAGGCCCACAGAAACTAAAGGCACAAAACGATAACCAATGATACTCGTTTCCCTCTCTCTTTGTTTTTCCCAATAAACACTCTCATTCTGCCTCTCCTGTTTTCCTGCCCTTCTGCCTGTTTTCCTGTCCACTTCTTCCTGGGGGAAGTGCAAGAGCGAGCTTCTGGTACGCAGAAGACGGGAGTGTGGGCACTACCCCCTCCATAATTCAACACTCTGCACGTATCTGGACTGCACTGTGGACCAGATCCGCGCGCTTCTAATACGCAGAGACGGATATGTGTGCACGTTCCTGCTCGACCACACAAACGTGGAGATCGTTGCCCACCACCATTGTAAAAACTCTTTAGTATTAAAAAACAAACAACAAAGAGAAAACGACAAAAAGAATAGTCAACACAAAGGATAAAAAGAACAAGAAAAACAGAAAGAAAAAGCGAAAGAAAAGAAAGGATGCACTGCCATTCATTACCTCTGTTTCTCTCGCTCGCTCTTTTATCGCAAATGCGCGCCTACAGTAGTTCCCGGGTTTTTTTGTGACGACAATCCATAGAAGACGAGTGACAGCAAGAGACTTCTTAACAAAAAAGACTCATTAATTATACGAAATACTAATCCGTCATCAACCTTGTTCTGAACTATTTTCTGCGTTTTCTAAACTATCCCTCTGCCAACCTTTTTTTTTTTTTTTTTTAATACGCTACTATATTTTTCTCTCTTTTTTTTTTTTTTTTTTAACTACGCTACTACATTCTTCTCGCTAATCTGTCATCATCTTTCAAATTCTTTCAATTCACCTTCACTACCTACCTACCACTACTCCTAAGGCATAATTATACAGGGGATCCCTGCGAACATAGCTTTGTCGTCTCCCTCCAGCCCCCCATCAGAGGGGATGCATGTTGCCCCCCGCCCAAACTATGGTGGTCAAGGATGGGGTGCGGCCGCCGGAGGGGGTCCGGTTAACGCAAAGACCGAGCATTTTGCGAGTAGCTGCGCCTCCCTTTTCATCGTCTCCCCCACCCCCAACCGGATAACAGCAGTGCCTATAAGGCCAACACTCTCGCGCACACCACGCACCAACTTCTAAACTTTTTTTTTTTTTAAAGCTATTTTTTCTACCTTCTGTCCAAGAAAGAACAGCACCGAAAAAGAAAAAAAATAATGGTCCTGACATTTTGCTCTACATAACATTGACCGTCCGCGCACGAGCATCACGAACTCACAAACTCTCAACCTGACGGTTCTACTACTGTAGGGTTCGACCTCCACCCACAGGAAACCTAATGCCTCTGATTGCGCTTGCGGCTCTCGGAGGGGTTCTGATTGGCTAAACCCAGGGGTCGGGATCGCATCTCTGAGTCTTCCGCGAACGTTCACCGAAACTCCGGACCTTCCGCGAAGGTATCACCGAAACTTCGGCGAACGTTCGGAACGCCAGTGACAACCAATCATCAACGACTTATATCATATAACAGCGCGTTCAATCGACAACCATCCATTAGCCAAGTCATCATTCTAATCATGGCCTCAGCCATTACGACAACGAGATCTTCAGAAGGGAGAAAAGGCCCCCCCGGGAAAAAGGGAGGGGGGGGGGAAGAGGGGAGGGAAGGGGTGTGGTAGTGGGTGGGGTTACGGACCATGGAAGGGGTGGGGACAAATAAGAGCGAGCTTCTGTAGAAAAGCCACGTGTCACTTTTGCACTCGCTCTTCATCATTGGGCACTAATACTTTCCCGCGCAAAACGCGTCACGGGCTCCATATGGGGTAGAAGGAAAAAAGAGATGCATTCCACAGCAGCTCAGAGGTTGAACGCCCGCACTTCCTGCTGGAGGGACCACGCGATCCCACCCTTCAGATTGGCAGTTTCTGGACTTCGCACCTGAGGTTTCAAGGAGAACAGATAGCGCACCCTTCGCTGGCCTCCACGTGGTCCACCTTGCAGTCTAGATGCATGTAGAATGCAAGGTAGACGGCGGAGTAGCCTTCCACGTGGTAGCCTACCTTCAGGGCCTCCCTGGCCTCCACGTGGACAGCAGTGACTTCAATAATGACAGACAACTCATTCAGCGCGTTCTATTCGAAGTTAACATGGCGTCCTAATCTTCAGGCCCTCTGTTTCTGGACTGCGTTTTCAGGGAGAGGCTTCACCCACTGTGCGATCCTAAAGAACTTATATTTATCCGTCGACAGAGGAATTGGCGGGAAGAAAAGCAAAGCAGAAAAGTACACTAAAAAAAAAGTTGAACCAAAAAAAAAGCAGGTATATGCAAAAAAACAAAAAAAAACGGAAAGCAGCTACACGCATAAATGATTCTGGGGTCCGATCCCACTACCCACCTTGTATCGTTCAATAGTCTCAGTACGTATCTATTAATACAGTGCACTCATCCATCTATTCATCCTCTCATCTACTCATCTCTCTTTGTCTGCCTCTCTCTCGATCTATCCATCCCAGCAATCTGTCTATTTATATACTGCAAGCAGTCAATAAACAAATCCATCCTTACATATACCACTTTACCTATTCTCTCTCTCTCTCTCTCTCTCTCTCTCTCTCTCTCTCTCTCTCTCTCTCTCTCTCTCTCTCTCTCTCTCTCTCTCTAAAGGCTATCTATCTATCTATCTATCCTTCCTTCAATCTATCTAACGCTATCGATCTCTCGATCTATCTATCTAACGCTATCGATCTCTCTATCTATCTATCTAACGCTATCGATCTCTCTATCTATCCCTCTAGCTATCTATTTATCTATCTATTGTATCCACCTATCCATGCTTTGCATGATACGTATATCCTGTCAACTTATCCATCTATTTATTTATGTATCTAATTACCAATCCCCGAGCCCATCTAATCATCGACCCATCCATTCATCCATCTAAACGTCTATGCATACATCTATATATCGTTTTTTCTTTTCTCCTCTTTTCTCTTTTTATCGCATTTGCGCTCTGATATTCTTGTGACAATATATACATCCACTTACTTCTATGTATCAACGCTTGTCGATCCAATGCCATCTATCTATCTCCTATCTTTCCACCTATCCAACCCCCCACGCCCTTTCTATCCCATCTATCTGCCCGATTGACAGAAATTGGTTAGAGCCTCAAATTAGTGCCTTGAGGCGCCAGCAGCCCCGCTGAAGAGATTCGCCTGCGCGATATCATCTGGCATGCCGTAACGGGTCGAGGAGGAAGCACTGGCTTTCCACCATCAAACGGTACAGTTGACGATGCACGATGGTTCCACAACGTCCAGGACACCATAACAGGAGGGACGAGGCAAAGTATGGCCGGCAGAGAAACAGGAGTACGCAATGACAGCAACGCGGGCGCGGACTTTTTTTAACACCAGACGGATTGCACACAAGACACACGACCTCCTGATGGGTCGGCCAAAGCCCGACGAAACGGGTCTCTATTCAGTCACCCTTCTTTTCGTGGAGGCTGTGTTTACCGAATAGAGACAACATACCGCGCTACGGTAGCTCTCCGTTGACGCGGATCGATGCGGCCAGGGTCGTGACCGTACCAGCGGTCATTGGCATTGGCTGACCCTACCTGAGCGGGTGCGCAGAGTGGTGGGTTTTGAGCCTGTGATGGACACTTCGCAGATTTACTGCCGTTATTGTCAGGAGGAGTTTGAGCTGAGCTGGACAGTCTGCTAAAATTGCCAGGTCAGTGGAGCAAACTCGCGCACTGTTCTCAAGGGTATATCGCTAACTTCGCCAAAGTCGGCCAGTCCTAATCCATCAGCCAAACGCATGGCGGAGAGATAGTCGTGGTTCAACCTGATGAGTCGGTGCAGGTCCAACGAAGCAGCCTGTCACCCTTCTATATTTGTGGAGTTGTTGCATCGACCGAACACACACACACACACACACACACACACACACACACACACACACACACACATCTCCTGATGAGTTGATGAAAGTTCGACGAAACAGTTTGTCACCGTCATGCTTTTCATGTGGGGTTGCGTATAGCGCAGATGACAACAGACTTGCATTCCTACACAAAAACACGTAGAAAACATAAAAAAACGCGCGCGCGCTGACACCCACACAGAGCAACACAAACATACAAACACACGCACACGCGCACATCCACTGACACACACACGAAACGTGTGCGTAATCAAATCACACAAACGCAGAGACACAGAGAGAGAGAGAGAGAGAGAGTAAACCAAAGACCGGGCAAACAACAGATATACGGGGAGGGTAACATCAACACCATCGCAAGGGTAAGAAAGGACGCCGCACCTGCGTGACCAATTTAACGGCTGAGTCATCCACCTCCGAGAAGACATCGTCTGCCACAGTATCCGAACTGGAGCTCAGAGTCCGTAATTGATTTCTAAGAGAGGCCGCAATCGACTCGCATCGCCAGAGAGCTGCTGACACTGGATCATCTACCGCCTTCTTTGCCGACACATCGCGCTCAGCGATCACTCCATCATCCCTTTTATCGTCCTCCGCTTCGTCATTACCATCCATATTGCGCACAACTCGTCTCGACTTCGATCCATCAACTTCCATCTCTGCTCTCGTCCTTAACCTCCTCCTACTTCCCACCGTCACGTCCTCCTCTTCTTGCAACTCCCTCGCAATCCGTTCATCGGTCTTTAAGTTCATATCGCGCTCCTTTCCACTTCTCTCTTCCTCCTCTTGAAGTGCTCTAGCGAGCGCCTCGTCGTCACTACTGGAGTCCCCACCTCCCTTTCCTCTACCAATAACCTGTTTCTTGTTCGTCTCAGCAGTACCTCGTCGCCTGTCCTTCACGACTCCCACCACAGGCTCTTGCGCCCGATTCCCCTGATGCCCCTCCTCTTCCTCGTCACTATCGATGATAACCCTTACCCTCCTTAGAACTCTGGACTGCTTTCCCCTGGACTCCGGCAGTTCCTCATCCTCCTCCACTCGCTCCTCATCCTCCACGTGTCCCGCTGTCGTCATTCCACGTGTCGCACTTCTTCTGCTGTCCAACTGATGCGCTGCCCGGCCCTGCTGCTCAACACCGTATCTCCTCCCCCCCCCCCCACTTCTCCCCCCTCCACCCCTTCCCCATACCTCCATCCCTCTGTCCATGTCCTCTTCCCTCCAATCATCCGCCTCCGCATCTTCCCTCCTCGCCTCATCGAGAAGCACCGCCGCCCCCGATGCCCCCGACCGTCCTTCAACTCTAGATTGATGGGTCACGTGCCCCGATCCCAATTTGGCGACCTGTCTATCGCAACCGCCTGCAGCTTCGCGATCCTCCACCCTCCCTTCACTTCTGGCGGCGCCGCCGTTCGTCGACGAGCCCGATTTCATCTTCCTCCCATTACCACCTCCACTGCCGAGATGCCCTCCGTTATCCTTCCCTCTCTCCTCGAAATCGCCTCCTCCCGGCCGATTGGAACCAATCCGTTGCGAAGAATGGCACGCAATTCCTCCTCCTCCACCCCTTTGAAGAAGTTTTCCGGAAGACATGCCTCCTCCTCCCTCTCTGTCACTATCTGTAGCCACTTTTTCTCTCTTCCTCCTCATAACCCCTCCTCTTCCCTCCCCTTCGCTATCGCTGCCACCACTTCTCTCTCTTTTCCGACCAACTCCTGGCCCTCCTACACTGGTCGACCTGCACACCGACTTGCCATTCGTAGGCTTGAACGCATACGCATCTAGCCTGGACAGCGCATCTGGTCCGTTTCCTGGTTTGCCCCCATGACCGCCATTCTTTTGGGCCTGAGATGTCCGGATTGGACCAAGAACCAAAGACGCTCTAAGGCGACTGCCATCACCCTTACCACTCCCACAATCCTGCCCCGTGTCATCGTCATCATCCGAGATCTCCTCCTCATCCATTCTCCTGCGTGAGTGAAACTCGCTCATTGACTCAGCCATCCCCCCAACCCTACGAAGCGATACCGCGGGGCGTACTGACTCGCCAATCCCTCCAGGCTTACGAACAGACAGCGCGGGTCGTGGAAACATCTCTCTCTCTCTCTCTCTCTCTCTCTCTCTCTCTCTCTCTCTCTCTCTCTCTCTCTCTCTCTCTCTCTCTCTCTCCGTGTTCCAGTTACTCACCAGTCAGCGCTCGTTGTTCCTTTCGCTCACTCTCAGAGTCACGACATCGTCGGTTTTTGAAGCTCTCTCCAGAATTCAACTCCCCGAAAAATCTGCCGGTGATATTCCTTAGCAGCGTGCTCCATCTCTGTACATCTGTAATCGTATCAGTTCCCCCTTCTTCGCCCTCTCCTCAACACATCAACAAATCGCTCACGCGAGTGGTTATACGCGCTTGCTCCGGTGACGACGCTCGCCGATCGCGCATGGGGAAAGAAGAAAAATCAACACATCTTTTCTTTCTGCAAGCAGGATACTGCGAGCTTCTCACGCAATTCGGCTATTGAAAATCCGCAGCTAGAAATTCTTAATGACTTTTCTTTTTTTGTTAATCGCAGGTCCCCCGCTTACGCGCTGCGTAGGAGACGACGACAAGCCAGCACTATGAGAAGACAAATGGCCCCCAATGGCCAACACTAATCATCTAACACTGTCTGACATTCCCAACATCAGCGGGCAGCCAACATTAGCCGCACTTCCACCAACGACCACCTTTTTTTCATCCCCTGCTCTCCTCTCCGCAGATTTGTGTTCCCCTACCTTATGGCAGTCACTCCCTCCCTCTTTTTCCAGCTTCTTTCTTCCCGCCCCCACCGCCCTCCCCTTTCCCTATCTCCCTCCTTTCCTCCTCTTATCCGTCTGGCATTTGCCCACTCCTCCCCTCTTCATCTCCTTCCCCCAAATTCCCTGCGGCACTTCTCCTCTCCCCTGCGCATGGACTCCTCTGCTTCCCCGTTACATAAACTTTCCTCCTTAGCCCCTCCCTTTACACCAGCCCCCCTCCTTTCCCGGGGTTTCTTACTACCTTCGCCCGCACTTCTATCAACTCATTTGCTTCCCTCTCTCCACCAACCCCACGCTTGGTCCCCCTCCCCAAAGCCCGTTAGTTCTTCCCCCCTCCACAACATCAGAGTTACTTTTGCCAGCCCAATGGAAGGATTAGGACTGCGTACCTGGCTACATCTGTCCCCTTGCAAGGACATTCTTAGCGCTGCTGCATGCCGTCACTTGCGCACAACCAGAGCCGATCTCCTGACCTGTCCACGCTCCCTCAATCCTTTCAAAGGATCGTCGAGCCCCCACTTCCGGGACCGCCTCTCGAGAATGAACTCAGATTGCAACTGAGCCAATGCAACACCTCGGCTTGCTCGCTTCCACGACATCCTCCGTCACACGTACTCGCAAGCACTCAAGGGACCATCTGAGCAATGTTATCGGCAAATATCACTTCCAGAACACCTCTCTCTCTCTCTCTCTCTCTCTCTCTCTCTCTCTCTCTCTCTCTCTCTCTCTCTCTCTCTCTCTCTCTCTCTCTCNTCTCTCTCTCTCTCTCTCTCTCTCTCTCTCTCTCTCTCTCTCTCTCTCTCTCTCACACACACACACACACACACACACACGAAGAGTCGATCAAACAACTGCCTCGGATCCACGCGTCGCAACGCTGACACGTCCTCTATAAGGCGCAGGCCCGACTCCGCGCCTCGAAAACCCCAGCAAGGCTCCGGCCTACGCCACCTAAGCCACTCTCCCGTATGCCACGGTGCGAAATGAGTCCCACTCGCCTTTCCGCGAGCACGGTGCTACTCGCATGGACGTGGCTGCGCATGGACGACGACGGCTGCAGCCCCCGACGTTTCGGAAACGCCTCTTGCAATACGAGGTACACGGCATGCGTACCCGCGCCGGCGCGGGCGCACACGCGCTCCTGCACGCTCGGGAAAATTGTTTGATGGGAGCGATGAGAGATTGCGCGGTCCTGTCGCACGAGCGAAAGTTGCAAAATCGGGCAACGGGGATTACGGTGTGGGCAAGTGTAACAAAAGGCCAAGATGATGCTCGAAGAATAATCACGAAGGCCCCACGGGGAGTTTATTGGTAATAGGTTAGCATGCCCCCCGAACCATTCACCGCGCCAACATACCTGTAGCGCGTGAGATCTAAGACGTCTGGACACAGCATGCTTTAGACCGGGTCTTTCAAGGAAATCCCCCTGCTTTGATGGCAATCGCACCCCTACTCAATCGGGCGCTGACAAAACCCCGGGCTGAGCTCGATGCAGCCAAACGACCGTCCATTCCTCCACTGTCCAACCATAGAAGATGACCTTCCGAGGAACTCATTGGACCCTAATTCGCAGCCCGTCAGGGTTGCGTTTTATGCCCTTGGGACCTTCAACGTCAATTCAACTTTCAAAGGGGAGGGTGGGCAATTTCGCAGCCCGTCAGGGGTGCGTTTTATGCCCCTGAGAACATTTTTCGTCGTGGTTCGTTATTCGTTAGACGGTCGTTTGAAGGCTGGAAAACCAAGGCATGGCAGTTTAGGGGGTGGTGGCATCTTATTTGAAATTGTCTACCGCGTGGGCGAGGGGAACACAGCCCAAAGGTGGCCAAATCAATGAGACTAAGAGCTAACACGAGAGAGAGAGAGAGAGAGAGAGAGAGAGTTTTGTTCCATTTATTGTTATGAGTGTGAGAGAGAGAAAGAAATAGACAGAGAGGGAGGGGGGCAGGCTACCAGAGAGAGAGAGAGAGAGAGAGAGAGAGAGAGAGAGAAAGACTGAATGGCAAAATTGAAATCTGGGTCAAATTGCGGCCGCGATCTATTTTGCAGTTGGAATGATTGTCTTAAATTTATTTAGCGTTTTTATTGGAAAGATCACAACAAAATTTACGAGTACTCCAATTTTCAGGTTTTTTCACACATTCTTTTGAGCGTGAAAGCTCACTAAATTTGGAGTACTTTTTTAGTTGGTCCAAGCATGGTTGAGTGCCAAAAATGGAAAATGTGCCGAATCGGCGCGACAATTATTTTGCAGTGTAAATGATTTTTTGTAGATGTTTTATTATTATTTCTGGAAAGAACACGACCTCATCTATGGATTCTCAAAATTTTAGATTTTTGTGCATGTTCGTCCGAGCACAGAAAATCGACAAAGTTACCTCTTGCAAAACGCCTATTTCGTTGTGCCTGACCTCCCTGTTTTGAGAAGACGAGGGCTCAATGCCTGGGCCTGAGGGCCCTTTTGCAGTTCACATGCCCTCACTTCTTTTGGGGGTACGCCCCCCACTTCTTTTTGGGGTCCACTTCCACCCGAGGACCGGTCTTTCCATTTTCCAAAAGTCCCGGTTCTACCCGAGCTAGCTGTAGGTAGTCCGCAATTTCGTCAAGGACTGATCCCGCAATTTTTTTCCCCCTAACAACCCACTTTCCGTCTTGGTCGCCCGCCGCCGAAATGCGACACCTTGACACAGGCGCGGAACCCCACTAGACCGCAACCTTAGGGCTGCGAACAC